CCAGTTCCTGACACACGCCGTCGACTTTTTGGGTCTAAGACATGTCGGTTTCCTCACGATGTTTTCCTTCACCTTTCGAGCAAATGTTAAATGCGCACATAGAAAGAAAGTCCATTGGTGCACAGCCGGGGTTCGAACCTACGACCTCAGGTATGAGAGTTGCACGCTGAAGCCACTAGGCCAACACTGTAACTTACCTAACCTAACTTAAAGTCTACTCAAGAGAAAAAGACTTTAGGAAAGGAATGTTTGTAGTATGTAGAATTACATCCTAAAACATATCGTTTTCCTAACCGTGCAAGTTTCTACAATACAGATCTGAATTTTTGTATATTGACCTGGGGCCTAACTCTGAAAATCAATAGCGATATCAATCCCGCCGATACGTCTACAAGTTCGGCATAGTTCTTTCAATAGTCGTAGCGCTGATGTCAAAACCTTGGGATCGCGCGGAACAAAAACTCATCATTGAATGAATAAATTGTGAACGCCGTCAGTATCGCTTTGGAAGTTACAGAGTAAGACTTAGGCTAACGAACGTAAAATGGAAAAATCTAGAAGATATTAATCCTTGTTTTTAATATATTAGAAATAAATTTTATTGAATCTCACGGCATTTAATAACTAATATAAAATTGTATTTCACATCTGAGAATAACCAATTCATTACAGATAAATATTTGATTTTGTTATTGTTGATCAAACTTTTTGATCAATTGTTTTTGATTTTCTACTTTATTTAATTATTAGGTCTCAGTAGTTTTATGATAAAAGGTGGTCAGACTGCTAACCATCTTATTTAAATAAGCAATTAAACATACGCAAAAATATCATGTAATGCATGTCTGTGGGGTCCGCTAGTATAATAATAATATACCTATAATAACTTAATTCACTTTACCTAAAATACAATGGCCACAGAGATCGGAATTTGCCTAATACAAATATTAGGGAATCCAACAGAATAAAACGCTCATCAAGTGACACAATGTGCTTTATTCATAGACAAGGAGCATTATTCGCAAATTATGTACAGCAAAGCCTTTACAGGGCCTTCGATACACTTAACAAAAATACATTTCCTTTAGAAACATCGATGGCCCCAAAAGCACATTTAAACATAAATATTTCAAAGTGTAACCGACTTCATGGCAGTCAACATCAGTAAAGTGAAAAATTAGCACTTAAAATATATCTCACTCATTTATACCACTATCCCTGATTTTTCCACATTACATGACAATCATGAAAAACGAAAAACACTTTCCGATTATATAGCTTTAAATTTCCTCACATTTCAGAATGGATGGCCACTTTCTGCAATATAATATAGCATAGTTTGCGACCATAAAGTTTGTAAATATTGGGACAACTTACACTTTCAAAATATAGTTACTACTTAAATAAGCATGACAAAACAGTATTCATTCAAAAATTAATCGTATAGGACATCATTATGCTTGCTTTAGAGGTCTTAAATTAAGGTGCAAATAAGGCTCTATCATACGCACTATAATCGTTGGAAAAGGGACAAAAAAGCTACTAAAAAGTTGTTCCTATGTTAAACAAACTTAACTTCAAACATAACATTCTTATTCTAAAAAACCCGTTAAAATAATGAAACCCCAAATGACGTAATGACATATATTTAAAAAACCCAATTAATTATTTAGGTAGCTTTAGTTCACCGATTCGTTAACTTTTACATTAAACGTGGTTTAGCCAACAGTTTAAGAAACGGCTTACGTCGATCGTAGAGCTTTTACCAATTAACATAATGAGAAATAAAACATTAAACTAACATTAAAATTATTGTTTGTTGTTGCCTAGTTTGAAAGTTCACTAAAATTTAAAGGCACTTAGACGAAAAGGAACTTGAACGTGAATTAAAAATATAATTGTTATAGACTCAGATGGTTGCATGGGTCCAAAATGTTTATCAAACTTAGTTCATGACTAATGTTAAAAAGTATTGACAGTGATCTAAGTTGTACTGTTAGGAACAGCACAAACTTCGATTCATATAAGTTTGCCTTAGTATATCTTTAAATAAAGCTTTTTGACGGATTATTATGATCAATAACTCTATAGTGATTGTGTATGTACATTAAACATATGTGAAAAGATTGAAATAAAACCATTATTAAGTAAATCCTATATTTCTTATTAACCGTAAGGTATTTCTATCAAAATCAACCAAACGCACATTTTTCTATAGAAGTATTGATTAAAAGTTATTAGACGATTTTTTTTTTGGTTCATTGGAAAATTGGTCCTTCGGTACGAAAAGAGCCATATTAAATGTACGTTTGTATGGTTGTTTGCAGGTATTTCCAATACCATAGAGTCCTCTAGAGGAAATTCAATCTACAACAACGTCAAAGATACGCAAACACTGCAGTGTGTGCTTTAGAAGCAAAAGGCTTTTATATTAATTAAAATGGGATAGCAATTCACTCAAATTATTAAGGCTACACCATACATTTACCGTTTAACGTTATGTTTGCACTTAAATTATAATGACATGTTGACAGATTTCTTAACAATAGACAATGATTTCGACTTTCGCATTATTTCTAAAGTGCAAAATCTTGATATGAACTTAAAAAAGTTTTCTATTTTTTTAATAAGCTATATACCAATTAAGCCTAGGCACTTACGGCAAACGTGTTTTGGCATTAGTTACAAAAATCACCAATTATATTTTATATTAATCTGTACACGATATGAAAAAGGAACAATTTTGTCCTATCTAGAATTTATGGTAGGTATAAACTTAACCTATATTAGCGACTTAAAAAGATACATTCGTACCGCAGTGATATCATATATTTATTGCAGTACACGCGTTAATTTTACAGGTAATTCTGTAAAAAAAACATAGTATTTCTTATACCGTCCTTGCATACATTTAAATAGTTATTGGTACTTCATTAAAAAGAACAAACAAAATTCCGTATCTTCCAAAATTATTAAAATAAACGATGAAAAGAAAATACAACCATAAGGAAATTAAAACAAAACTTATCCATACAATAACCAGGTACCACCCTATTATTTCAAGAGCTCAAAAGATATATTCGTCATAATAGTTCATTTATTATTTATGTTTATTCATCTATTAATTACAATCTATGTGAATGGGGTATATTAAGGATTTATAATAAGGAAATACATATGTTTAAACAAATATTTTATTATTTTGAACCACAATTATTTTCTAACAATGGCTCGTTTAAGCTTTGTTTCTCTAGAAAAAAAACCCTTTCTCAATGCACCTTACCACGTTATATTATGTATAATGCCATCATTTATAAGTGTAAATTGATAATATCATTTCACAGTAAATGTGGTAAAATCAAATAGAGTGAAACGTGATCTTGGCTTGCTTTCAGTAAACTGCTGACGCAATACGAGAAGTATTGCTTTAGTTTGCTTAACTCCAGGGAATTTATTTTCAAAAAGTTTCTGCGTACGTCTATACTACAAATGTATGAAGCATTGGAAATACTTTAGAAAGAGGCTGATGATGTTATTAGTATTATTCTTATTAGAAAATCCAAGAATCATCGCAAGAATTTACTATTTAGCCTTAAATATGCAATTGAACAGCTGACATGACCTTGACCTTTGTGCGGTGAATGACCTCAAATGTATTTCTTGAACTACTTTTTTAATATTTGTTTTAATTACGAAGGCAAAATCGATTCCAAATATTTTATACAAAATAGCGATGTAAGTAGATTAAACTAAATAAGAGAGTGGTACCCAGTAAACAAAAAATAGAAAGAAACTTACAACTAAAACAACAATAAGAAAAGCAAATTAATTCTAGAAGGCCTAACATATTGACTTATTTGTCACAGCACGACTTGATTATAGTATCGTAGCTCACACTAAACAACGAACAAACCACTAAAATAATAAGATCGGCCTCAAGAACGCGTATCAACGCGTGAACGCAATGCTTAGCGATTTTTAAATCAAATTTGAGGTCCGATTTCAAATATGACTTCATAGAATGTGAAAAAATAAAACAAGAAAATCTCACGGTTCAAAGGTCAGCCTTGATTGGCTTGGTATTTTTGAAACCTTAATGTTACATTTGTCATAGGTAACACGAAACTTAGTCAAAGTAAACGAACTTGCACCTCACTGTACTTATTGAAACTTAAAAGGAACAAGTCATAATATATTTAAAGTGTGATAGCTGCCTCTTATAACAATTCTCCTAGAACTTAAATCATTCGTTCATTAGACATAAATTCGTCACACACACGATCGAATTTGTTCTATAAGTTACAATTATTTTACTATTTCATTTATAACATCTGCTATTTTCTGGACTGAAAAAATAACAGTGAAATATTCAAATCACTTTGGTGATAATACGGACGCTTTGTATTCACAATTAAAAATATCAACACGGGCTTTTTGAATTCATTCTACTACAGACATAAGAAAACAGTTATATGATATGAAAAAAATCTCCTACGTTAAATGTAAAACTGTTCTTCCAGTTTGACTAAGGTAAATTTAGTTTTAAAATCTGTTTTGCGGAACTCATTTGTTTAGTTAGCCAGTGAGTGTTACATGCGCCATTATCTTATAAGAAAGTGAAATTAAGTTGATTTATGGCGATACAACATTTATTTCCCTAAACTATTTCTATTTGGTTCATGGTTCAATTCTGTTGAACAAAAACTAAATTTGACTAAGTCTGAAATTTAAGTTAGTGTACAACAGACTTTTATTCATTAGCATTATCTGGCGTGCGTCTTTAAATATAAAAATTGTGTGTATGTGTTTGAATTTTGCAAGAAAAAATTTCAAAACCAACTCGGAACAAACACCGAGCCCTGAGGCAAGATTTATTTGCGTTGTAAGATTTAATTATAGCGTGTGTAATAGTTAATAAGCTTGAATATTTATATTAATTGAGAAACTGTGAAACCAATTTCAATATTTAAAGACGCAGAGTTACAAAAATCGTATAAAATTTACCAAATAAAGCTCAGTAGCGCACACAGCACCTTATATTGCATAAAGGTCGATGCCATGAAGAATAAATGCAATATGAGATATCGTACGTTGTCCTGTCTCACTGTTCGTGACACTGATGGCACGTTCCCTTTGGACGGGAACTGCCCAGTGCGGTAGAATTCTTCTAACATTTTGTCTTTTTCTATGAATCGATCGTACAACCAGTTCGTCATGGCTTCAGGGTCTGAAGGTACCTGTCGATTAAAATATTGTTAAACTTTCAGATATTTGTTTTACATATGTGCAAGTGTAATTTAAGAGAAAATAACGTTAGTTGGTATAGCAATTATGATCACAACTTGTGCCTAAAGGTTTCTTGTCTTGCACTCATAACGCTGTTTTTTTAAATTTTAGAATCGTATGTATAATTGTATCGTAAATAGCGTAAAAAACTATATAAGATAATATATCTATAATTAGATTTAATAGGCGACTATACTACTGAATATGATTTAAGTGTTTAAAATTACCTCAGTGCTAGGATATAATCTATAATGTATATGAGTGGAGCAGGCTTCACGGAAGCCACACACCACGTCAATCAGATGCAGAGGAATACGATCTGGGTACGCGATCGTCACATCTAGGATCCACTCAATGCTGTCTCCAGAATTGGTGTCCAGAATCTTGCTATTGCTGTGCTTGCTATTGTTGACGTTGTTTTCTGAAATCGTATTCAAGTGTCCATTTATTTCATATTGCATAATTATGTAAAAAACTTGTGTCACGGCGCTTATTGTCGCACTTCTCCGAATCAACGCGACTTTGAGAGGTAAAACAATTTTTATTTCTAGATGATCTACTAATTTTTATATAAATTATGTTTTATAAAAGGCGAACATCTATTCAAACGAAACTTTTAGCTTTTTGGTTAGAAATTAATTTATCCATGGTTCAATTGAAAAGTATCTATTATTTACAAAAGTGTATGTTTCATTTGTTTTAAACAGTTTCAAATACTACTTAATCCAATCTCACAATTCGGAATTGATAACGGTAACTAACAATTGAAATACCCCATAATCGGAAGAGTGAAATGTAAAAAGTGGTTTTTAAACCACAGACAAAGGAAGCGATGTGCTAAATCAAAAATAATGTGTGATGTGTGTGTGATAAATCGAAGAGTGAATGAAATGGTGAGTTGCAACGGTTTTGTGTAGTAGAAAAAGGTTCAAATTATATTTTATGAAGTTTCACAGATCACAAATCATTCTCCACTCTTTAATTAATCCTAACGATGATCCAACGGTAATAGAATATTGAAATGTCAAATTGGCATTTTACTTTGAATCTGTATTTTAGCATGGTCGTTGTGTAACGTTTTTGTGGGTCTTTATGTTATTTTTATTAAATCTATTAGATTGATATAGTATCCAAGTTCCTAAATTATAATATATATAGAAATTCGTGTGGATAGTGATAAAATCGTGTTTTTTTATGTAATAGGAGGCCAACGGAGAGGAGGCTCGCCTGATGTCAAGTGATACCGCCGCCCATGGACACTCACATTGCGAGAAGGCTCGCAAGTGCGTTGCCGGTCTTTCAAGGATTAGTACGATCTTCTCTTGAAGGACCCTAACGCCCGAACCCAATAACCTATCTCAATCCATAATCCACCATCTTTGGTTGGTGGGGTGCAGATAGGAGATCGATCGACTGTCACGGTCTGATCTCAGATTGTTTTCAACCTGAGATTGTGGATTGATTATAGCCGAATTGGTTCGGAAATACTTCAGTGGGCAGGTACCACATAGTGGTGGTGTGCGGCAAAAACTGCCTTTAAAAACGCTCAGTTGAGGTACAGGTGATACGGATGGTATTTTGTATTCTGCCTTCACGTCCGATAATGAAACTCAGCTGCAGGTATTAGTCCGAACAACTCCTCCGAACACTCTCCATGGTATATGCGGTCCATGCGCTAAGGTTTGTTTCAAATTAAAATCAAACAATTAACTTGTTATCATATTCACTATACAATAAAGATATAAAAATTGGTATTACCTTTCTTATTATCACTTTTAGATGTACCAGCTTGTTCCCTGTGGGGTCCAACTTCTTCCATGATCACTTTCAAAGCTCCAGCCCGAGGCAAAGATACATATTCTAGCTTAGGCAAATTGTTCTTCTCGGCGAACCTATAACAAATCCAAGTAAAATATTAGGATAATACAAATCCAGTTTCACTACTTAAGAATAAATTGAGCGTGACCGTTTTCTATTTCAGGCGAAATAAGTACAAAGCCTTTTCTTTTCATTGTGGTCGGCAGTAATTCTTCGAAATCTCTTGGTATTGGATTTTGTCGCCAATTTCTTTGATTATTTTTCTTTATCTAGTTAGTAGTAATAGAATTACAGTGTTGGCCTAGTGGCGTCATCGTGCGACTATCATCCCTGAGGACTATCGTACCTACGATCCCTGGCTGTGCACGCAATGGACTTTCTATGTGCGCATTTAACATTCGCTCGAACGGTGAAGGTAAACATCGTGAGGAAACCGGCTTGCCTTAGACGCAAAACGTCGACGGCGTGTGTGAGGCACTGGCTTATTAGATTTAAAAATGATCATGATACAGATTCAGAAATCTGAGGCCAACACCTAAAGAGGTTGTAGCGCCACTGATTTATTTTTATTTGTAATCGAGAATCGCTGTCCGCTATACGAAGTTACAGAGCAAGGGGCCTATAGCCACTTTGCTTTATTAAATATCACCTATAATCAGATGTAATTATACATAATAGGATATCAATTCGTTACACATTCAATTGGCACCGACATCTATCAAATACCATACTAGGCTCTTCAAATCCCTATAGAAGCTTACTAGAAGCCTACTCAACACATTACATTCTCATAGAAGTAATATATGTTTAATTAAAATCAGAGTCCGTGTTTACTATGTTATTATTTATACATAGAAGACGTAACTAAAACAAAAATGACAATTTATTGTTACAAAGGTTTTAATTGGCTAGAAATGTCTTTCAAAGGTACAACAATGTATTTGTTTTCTTTAAAAGAAAGCTTTGAATTTTAAATGCTGAAAGCTATTTTCAGAGACTGGTACATACATAACTCATCACTGTCAAAATGCCACAAATCAACTGGTGCGCTACTAAAGAAAGCATTGTTGAAGACTGCTGGCGTAAGACTCTTAATATTTTTCTAGAATAGGGACAAACGGGCAGGAGGCTCATCTGATGTTAAGTGATACCGCCGCTACGCCGAGCCGGACACTAAATGCCAGAGGGTGCGGTGCCGGTCTTTTAAGAATTGGTACGCTTATGACAGTAGACCTCTGAGTTCTCTAGTCAACACGTGTCATTTTCAGAATCATTTATGGATTTTGCGGTGATTTTCGAAAACTAAAACGGTCTTAGATGCTTTAAAAAAATTAGTATCGCTAACAATCGAACCTCTGTAAATGTTTAAAGGCAAAGTGTTTTATAGTGTGACAGAGTATTTAGACCATAAGATTTAACAATATAAATAACTTATTATTATGAAATTATGGTAATTGATATGACATTTGCATGCGTATTTTTATATGGCTGATTTGTTTTTTTTTTATAATTAATCAATCTGAATGTACCACTTTCTTTGCAAAGAAAAGATTTAATTGTAGAACTACTTTTACATTAATACAAACCTACTTGCACTGAATTAATGAAAGAGATACAGAACCTTGTATTATCAATATAAAACGTTTTATGGATCAAAATAATAGAACGCCAGACCTTTGGCTAATCTCTCTCCTCTTGTGCAAGAAGCCACCCTCGGGGAACAGCACCATGAATTGTCGGCCCAAAGGTATGTAGTATTGGTGAATGTGTTCTCTTAGCTCTTCAAGAGACACCTCCCGTTTCGCCTTGCCCTGGAAATAATATAACAATTTAATTACAAAACTAAATTCAAAAAATTTGAAGTGAAAAAGGCCACCGTAATTGAAAATTTCTGAATATATATTACATATACATAACATTTATTACAAACGAAAACACACACACATAAACACACAAAATAACAATACTTAAAGAAAAAAGACATCAAAAACAATAAAAATTAAGAATAAAAATTAAAAATTCCCTTTTGCCATTTGGTTCGCTTCTAGTGTGCAATGTGTGGGTACTGTGGTTGTAATTGGCCCTGGCTCAGCATTATGCTGAGGAGCAAAATGTTTCACAGCGCTGGTCATTCTGCCAGAAACCAGCTAGTTTGCGCCTCTAATAAAATAAATAATAATAATACTAAGTAGAAAATAATAATATTAAAGTTAGAAGTGTAAGTAATGAAAATCGTGTGTAAGGGTGTACAATAAATAAAATAAAATTAAAAGTTAAAAATAAGAATAATTGTAAATAAGTAGATATTTGTTTTTGTTTTTTGGGTGGATAAAAACTAAATTTCGTGGGACTTTTGTTAAGTAGATGTGTCTTATAACTGCGCCTAAAATTTGACTTTAATTGAAGGCTCTTCAGCGGAGGAGGGATATTATTCCAACACTTCGTCGCGCTAAATTTAAAACTCCCACGAAATGAAGCCGACCGATGCTGGGGAATGGCCAGCTCCTGAGTACAACTCCTGACTTGGTGCTTGTTGGCATTACTACGCCAGAGAAGCTTTTTGTACAAATATTCAGGTTGTTTAGTATATACTACATCAAATAACAAACATGTAATTGAATAATTTTATTTACGTTTCATTTACAAATAAACAAAGGACGTATTCATCTAAAACTAATTAGCAGATTTACTATTAAAATTGTTTGAAAATTGGGCGTGTCTTTAACACAATTGAACTTCTTTTAAATGCGAATTTATCATAATATCATAACTTGATGTTTCGAATGCTTTTCAGCCATAAAAGTAAATCGAAACGTCTAGTTTTAAATAAAAAAATAACTAGATATAAAGATAAAATTTCTATGAAACGTGTTCGGGATATTATACTAAAATTTAGATATGTGAAGACAGCATCGATCCCATACAACACCCTTATATTCTCACCCTAAAAGTAGCCGCAATATGGCAACTATTAATGTGTACGTCACGGGCCATGAACTCCGGTAATGGTTATTAGCACTCGATGAGAATGCACTTCACGACCCTTTGTACCTACGTACTCAACATCAAAAGAATTCAAGTACAATGTTATCACAGAAATCGCCAATCGTTACAAGAATAGAGGCTTATAAAAAGTTCACTAAAATTAATGTAAAATGAGAAAACATGCTTCGGCTTCTATAAATTCTTTACGAATTACATTTTGAAAGAAATAAATAATTGTATTTCTATTACATTATAATAGATAATATAGATTATAATAAAAATACCAACTCCTCTGTATATATTGCCGTTGATGTAACAAAATTTCATATTAAATACATGTTATATGCTGCTGTCGACATACAGTGTTGGCCCAGAGGCGTGCAATTCTCATCCCTGAGGTCGTAGGTTCGATCCCCGGCTGAGTTTCTTTCTATGCGTGCATTTAATATTCGAACGGTGAAGGAAAACATCGTGAGGAAACCGTCTTGCCTTAGATCCAAAAAGTCGACGGCGTATGTCAGGCACAGGAGACTGATTACCTTCGTATAGAATATGTATCTACTTATGTAGTAATTTTACAGTTGAGTTGGACATTCTCTTCAAACCCTTTGTACGTTTAAGTCCAAATGCTTCGCAACCAAAGCAATATTATAGTTAGATTAGTAGATTTTCTTTACCCATCTGCAATCAGCCTTCAGGCTTTTATCAGATTTTATGATATGATTTTGAGGCAATTAGAGAATGCAAATACAATAATTTGTTTTCCCTCCGTAACTCGCAAACTATCAATCGTGGGCAAGTCTCGCCCTTTTCAGTCATCCGAAACACGCAGTCCGCCGTTTCCAAGAGACCCGAAGGGGGTTGACGTGTTGTTGAAGGTTCCTTTTGTATAATAAGGTTGTTTCTTTAATGCTTGACAGTGGTAATTGCCAAATATTCAAACATTAAAAACATTAACGCAAAAAACAAATGAATAAAGGGGCGTAATATACACGAAACTTCATATATGAGTGTTTATTTGATTAAAGTTGTACAAAATGTACGTATAATTTACGACTATAGTTGCCGCAATAGAGCCCTTTTGCCGTTTCATATTCAAGGGTTCGTAATATAAAGGTATAGAATCTCACAACGTTTCACGACAAAAATAATATATTTTATATACATTTGTAAATATCTTAAAATGCCGGCTACGCATTTTAGCAACGTGAGTAGGCAGTGTGGGCAGGGTCACCTATAGATCATAGTGTCCCCTTTTTTCAAAACTATCATGTTATAACATATCATTGATATACAAGTATTAAACAAATTTATTTAAGAGCCTTCACCAATCGTACAATGATATAAATGATATCACGTATATATATGTCAGAGATTAGGTTATAATAGAACACGGTGTAATTTGTTTGATTACAATGGCTACACCACGCAATATCATAGACATCTTACAGGTTGTAAAGTGTCAATGTGTCAATTGTCAAAATCAATTAGTCAGTAGTGCGTAGAATCGGTCGTGAAGTGCTTGAGTTGCTTTCCGATCGGCGCCTGCGCCGGACGTGCGCACTGACAGTGTTTAAATATTAAGTAATAATGTCGGACAACGGTAGTGATACCAATTTAGTAACTATTAATCGCGTCGAATCTGCGACATATACGTTAAAGATTTTATTTGTTTTAATTTTAATTTGTTTGTTAGAATTTTGTTTTATTTAGCCATTACTATTTACTATGGATTATTAAATTACTAAATTGATTTTACATCAAAGATTTCAAGTGCCCATTGTCAAATACTACTAGCTGGTTCTATCTATCGATATATATCAATGTAATCCTAGAGAGTACAGGTGAACACAATCAAGCTTGGGCGCCGCGCAAACTTGCACCTAACACAATTTGGCTATACTAATTGTAGAAGCAAACTTCGTGCAGCGAGAAATCATATTACCGCATACCGTCATATTGTCTGACTAGCTGTGCTCGCGTTAATTCAGTCGTAGCGTGATGTTATGCCTTAATAAACTAACCAACGGCATTGATTACCCAGATGTTGACTGGGCACGGTAGATTCTTGTGGTATTTACAGGTTCAGGGTTAGACAAAGTGCTGCCTGTCCTTGTAGCAATACAGCTGAAGAGACGGTGTTACATGTCCTGACCGACTGTCTAATGTATGGATACGACAGGTATAACACTGAACAAGCTTTGGGAATAATCGTAACAGAGACGAACTTAAAAGACATAATGTTCAACAATAAGAAGAGTTATCTTTCTGGAATTTGCTGTAAAAGTTGTTAAAAGAAATAGGTAGTAGTGCTTAATCACCCGGGTTACCAATACCATTTACTTAAGTTGTACCATACGTACGTTATTTAAAACCTCCGACGACAACATAGTAGGAGAATTAGCTAGAAAATATATTTAAAAAAATATATGGACTACCCAGCACTTTTCAATTCGAATACGTAGTACCTCGCGCGAACGAAACAAACTTAGAGAAGTTCTCAAAAGGAAATAATTTTTGCTGGCTTGCAAGTTTTATACTTCGGTATTATTGGTTATAATATCTATATGTGATTAATGTTTAAAATCGGTGCAGAAAAAAAAATATATGTGTATTAAAACACGACTTTTGTGTTGTGTTAAAGATAAAATATACTTGATGACATTTTTTTTTTAGACATTAAAAATAGTGGCGGAGAGTTGATTGCCAGTTCTTCTCTTCCGTTCTACGCTCTTGATTTGAGAACTAGCAGTAAATGTAAAATTAGAACCATTTAATGTATATTTCCTTTTTGACGTTCATAAATGTACATGGTGTTATTATATGAATAAATGATTTTTGACTTTGACAGCTCAGCCGGAATGGGCCTTTACCCGCGACTGGCACAAGGCCGTCTCCTGCGAGACTCGGACCTCGGCTTGGGCCGTCGCGAGGTGGTCAACCGCCTGAAGAGCAGGACGGAAGCTCATTGGAGTGAGCGAAGTACGAAGTAAAGGTCCACACCTTCCCCCGTGAAGGCGGATTTTTACTCTAATCTTCTTTAGCTTAATTAATGACAATGAAATGTAAATTAGTTATATAAAAACTGGCTTTCGTCCGCGTGGATTTCGTCTGTTAAGCATGATTTTTTGCAAACTCTTCAACAATAATGTTATATTTCAGTAAATTTGCATAGAGTCATAACGAATTATACTCCTAACCTTCAGGAATAATTGGTGAAAACCGTCCAAAATCCTTTTGAATTTATATCGTTTCTACAGACACAGCCTTTGTTCTATGGTAGGGGAGCCCACGATGCTAAATGGGGATTTACTCGAGCGTCGTAGAGACCTATTGGGATGCAAAGCTTAGATAATAAGAAGAAAAAAATGTTATATGATATATACCTTTTCATCGGTGGGGAAGCGGCTATAGATTGTTAAATATGTAAAAAAAAACTGTTGCATGGACATCCTCGAGCGCGTCAGATATTGATAGCATCAATGCCCTACGTATTTTTAATAATGTACGTATGTTAATCTGATCGTTTGCATGATGCGGGTGGTTGTATTTAAGGGTTGAAAATGAAAAAAAAATAAAAATTATCGAGCGCGTCAGATTTTATAAGGGAGTGTTAAGTGCACCAAAAAAAAGCTCTCATTCACTAATCTGACGATTTCGATGGGACGCAAACCCACGGCCATTTTCATAATTTGCAAAAAAAAAATCGCAATTTTGAAATACTCAAGCGCGTCAGATTAAGATATATGTGGTTCATCTTTATGTTCTAAACGAACTGTCTCATAATCTGACGATTATCTAGAGGGATTCGCCTGATCTGACAAAAAAAATTTAGAAAAACGGTTCACCTAAAGGGCCATCCCTGCAACTTCCCGCTAATTCCATTCCTGGGCGCTTAAAATTGATATTTTGAGCTCGCTGAGTTCAAAGAAGTAATATTTCTATGCATTTGAGCTCTCCCAGCTCGAAAGTCTGTTAGAAGTTTCATAGAACACTATTTTTGGAATTTTCAAACCGCAATAACTTTTAAATGGATCAAGCAATTTTCACGCGGTTGGCGGCATTCAACGCAGTTTTATCATCCTCATAAGTAATTTTGCAATTTTAATTGATCGAACCGCAAATTTCGGAGTAATCCCGAAAAAACACTTTTTCGGGTTTCTTTCGTTCACGATATCTCCTCGAACGAATCAACCGCTTTTGACCAGCTTGGTGGCGATCGACGTGGCTTTTCAAGCTCAAAGGCGGATTAGTTTTTGAAGTTGACGATAAAGAAACCACTTAAAAAAAATATTTTTATTTTTTTAAGATTTTTCAAAATTTCTCAAAATCTATCGGTCCGAATCGGTTCAAATTCACAGGAAATGTAATTTTGAGGGAAATATTTAGAACGCCGTTTAGTAGATTCCGATCGGTTTAAGGAAATGTAGGAATTTCTGATGGTCAATTTTTTTTTACTAATCTGATCCTGTCTCCTTCACGGGCGGCCTTATATATGGGCCTCATATTTTGTGGAGGTACTTAACCGGGTACAAGGGTATCTCCCATATAATTAATCTGCCGCGCTTTAGTAAATCCCGAAATCCCCTCTTGGGCTCCCCTACCACTATAATATATAAGCATATAGTACAACACAATGGTCTTATATCGGCAAATTGGTCGATTATCAGTTTTTAAAAGCCCATTATAGGATACATCTCCAAGTAAGAGGTCATTGAACCCGTGGGAACAATGGCAGGAAGATCGATTGCTTTCACAAGTTTTTCAAACTTTCACCGCGTTTCAAGGTAAGTGGTAAGTAATAAAGGTTGTTTCGGTCTCGGAATCTTGTTAAAGCAATTGGCTAAAAACTAGAAACAGTAAAAAGAAGCATTTGAATACACTGTGAAATATGGTCTCAAAATGAACGAATCGATCTATTCTGTTACGGATTTTCTTAGAAAACTAATCGAAATGAATCTTAGCTCTTTTTGTTACCTACTGCAGAAGTCTTACAGGCATAATCTCTG